TGCAAGTTGTTCTGCAGACCCACTGAGGTGCACTGTAGGGCCCAGTGATCATGGCTGGTGAAAATTGATGAATGGCTGGCAGAAGGTTAAGAAGTACCTTGGGATTTTAGGTATGCACCTAGATACCAGAGCAGGAAGGAAAGAAGTCTTTTTCTTCCAGGTGAGCTGGAATTTAGTATTGCTTCTATTTGTTTTTGTGAAACATGGATGAAGATACAGATTTTTCTTTTTGGTTCAAGTGTGGGTCTTGTTTTACATCAAGCAATTCAGATTCTACACAGATAGGAGGCAGGATTCATAGGAGGAAGTGTTTCACACTTCATCATTCACTTATTTTTTTATTTTTTTGGTGCCAGGGATTGAACTCGGGACCTTGAGCTTGCCAGGCAGGTGCTTGTGCTGTCGAGCTGTCTCCCTGGTCTATAATCACTTATGAAAGAATCAGAGAAACATTATTAAAGGATCAGGAAAACATGCTCCTGGATACCAGAGCATATGCCTGTGTCTTCAGTTATTACTATTCTATGACACATGGTCTGTGCTTTCCATGTTGAGAGATTTAAACAAATTATTTTTTTGTACAGGGTCTCACTAGACAGCTAGGACTTGTAGTGATCCTGCTGTTTTCAGCCTTTGTAGTGCTGAGATTACAGGCATGTGCCACCACACCTGAACTCGTTCGCCTGCTCAGCTGGCCCAGGGGCAGGGCTCATGCAGCGTGTAGTGCAGGAAATTGAACCCTGGTCCCTGGGTTGCCTAAGCTGGCACTTAGTCTGCTGAACTATTTTGCTGGCCCTCATGTTGAGAGATTTTAATTAAGAGTAGGTACTTTATGCCTGCTTTACTTTTCCCTCTTTGGCTCTAGGAATTTACACAAATATACCTCAGAATTGATTATTGGTAAGATAGTTCTCTTGGTAGAGTTGCAATTCACTTTATTTTCTCACAAATAACAATGCAATTTGTTTAATGGCTTCCAGAACTTTATTATTTTTGTTTTAGTGAAAGTTCAGGTACCAGGAGGCAATGGGTTTATTTGCTGAGGGAGGCACCTCTATTTTCATGTTTTCAAATGAAAGCCAATATGGATTTTGTTACTTATTTTCATATTTCAATATTTCCAGTCATTCACCTTATGGTTCTTGTGAAAATTTTTGTGTTTAAGTATTTGAAATAAAATCTTAAGATTCAAAAAGTGAGTTTTGTGATTTATCTTATTGTATTATTACATATTAATAACATCAAGTACAGCACTTAAAAATGAATACATGGATCCTCGAGGGAAATACAAAATGAAGTTGGTGATCTCAGAGAGGGCGATCGCATAGTGATAAAGAATGTAATTCATTTTAGTGTAGGATGATACTATTTGGCTCTAGATATTTAAGATAAATAGTAAACCATTGTTATTATTGATTGCTGCGTGCTTGTGATACATAATGCTTACATTAATCTCAGTCAATGGGAACAATACGCACAGCACACCCGAATCTTCTCTGCTTCCCCTAGCCCCTACCAACCCCTTACTCTCAGCCCTTTCTCCAACCCCCTTCCCTCATCCATGACATCCAGTGGGAAGGAGATTTTGAACAGTAAATATTTTGCTACTTTTTTAACCCTTTGAGAGTCTGATGAAGATAGAGACTTTCTCTGGACTATTTCTTTGCTTATATGCTTTAAACTTTGGTCAGAATGTTTGCTGTTCATCTGTCCAGGACCGCTTAGTTAACATCAACATTGTCTAGAGCTCAGATTCTTTTGTTCAGCGTTTTTGATAACAAGAATACATAGCTTGCATTTACCACACTTCTTTTGGTGGCAGACACTTTGTGCACATTTTCTTTGATCCTTTTGACAGGAGTACGCTGTGATCTCCCCACGACTCATGAGGTCACCTAAGTGTAACTCCGCCAGAAAGTGGCAGAACCCTCCCGCCATCCTCACACTCATCCTTCCAGCTCCATCCCACCCACCTTTGTATAACTTGGTCCTTTTCCCTCTTTGCTGGAGGCTTCCAGCTCCCTTTCACTCAGGACTGAAATTCCAACTGACTGCCTTTCTTTTGCTGGACCAGTTTTCAAAATATTGAAATATATCCTCTTCACTTGCCCATAGTAGGA